GTGTGCATGAAACAATCTCACGCCTGTGACTACAAAAAGGATCTCTTTTTTTTTTCTTATATTGTCCTTGGCTGGGCGGCTGGTGGTCACGCCTGCTATCGCCGCTCTGGGAGGCTGAGGTGTGAGCGATAAATTGAGCTCAGGAGTTCGAGACCAGCCTGGAGAAGAGCGGACCACATCTCTATTAAAAATAGAAGGAATTAAGCATGGACAGCTAAAAATATATAGAAAACCGAAATTAGACCGGGCATGGGTGGGGCATGCTGTGTCCCGCTACTCGGGAGGCTGAGCAGGAGGATTGCTTGGCCCAGGAGTTTTGAGGTTGCCTGTGAGCTAGGCTGCTGCCACCACGGCATCACCCCAGGCAACAGAATGAGACTGTCTCAAAAAAAAAACTAAACATTATCCTTGCTATTATCTGATACTAGGTGTCGAACACAGGAACATTTTATTTTTGTTATATTTTCTGTTATTTCTTCTTGATTATTTGTTTTGTTTTGTTTTTTGAGACAGAGTCTACTTTTTTTGCTCAGGCTAGAGTGAGGCAATGGCTCGCCTAGATCACAGCACCTCAACCTCGCTGGGCTCAAGCGTCCTCCTGCCTCAGCCTCGAGTAGCTGGGATACAGGCATGCGCCACATGCCCAGATAAATTTTTTTTCAATTATTTTAGTTGGCCAATTAATTTCTTTCTGTTTTGGTAGAGACAGGGGTCTCGCTAGGCTGTTTTGAACTCCTGAACCTTGAGCATCCCGCCCGCCTCGGCTCCTAGGCAGTGCTAGGATTACAGGTGTGAGCCAGCGTGCCCGGCCCAATTATTTGTTTTTGATGTTAAAAATTAGCCAAAATTGGATGGAATTGCTTTAATGAATTATTTTTTCAGAAACTACTGTTAGGCACGTAAATATAGAACCTGCTAAGCTATTTAATATTATCAAGCTTGTGCGACTCGAGCATGGTTTTGAGGCCGGCAACCTCAGTTTCTATCTTCCTGTCTGTTTGGGTGAGGGCCCGGTCCTGCTGGGCATGCAATGCCATTATTTTCTGTTTTAATTCCAGCAGCTTCCTTTGTCATTGATACAATTCTTACTCTGCTCTTTTCTAGATTGAAGTCTAACTTGGTATCTGTTCGGACTTTGATCACTTCATCCATTACTTGTTGTTTTAATTGATGTAGTTCGAGTTTTATTTTCTCATTTTCTGCTCTGAGGGCTGAAAATTCACTCTTCTCCAAAATAATCATATCCTTTTTCACATTAGCAATCTGAGACATTGTTTGCTGAAGAGTGATCCCCTGCTGCATCTTGGTGACCGTGTCTTTGTAGACGACATCCATGTTGGCCTCCATGATCTTGACCAATGCAGATACAATGATTTCTGCTTGTTGAGTAGTAAACCCATTTTCTTCAAGTAAGCACACTAAGGCATGGGTGTCAAAGTAGAGCTTCCTACTCCCAGAAGAGGTGAAATCTCTCCTTTTACGCTCTAGCTGCAAGTACCCAGCAGACAAGCTTAGCTCTCTCCTGCAGAAAGCGAGGGCGGCCGCCGGGCCGTGGCACAGGTGAAGGGCGCCGGCGATGCCCGGGGCGAGGCCCGGCTGGCACCTCCACGCGCCGCTGCGCCCGGCCGGCGGGGTAGCGGGCCGGGGCGGGGGCGCTCCCAGTCCCGGCTGCCGGCGCGGGGCAGCCGCAGCCACCCACGGACTCTTTAATTATTTTAATAGACCATTTTGCACTGAATAAACATTTATTTTTACAACAAAATTGGGCTGGGTGTGGTGGCTCACACCTACAATCCTAGCACTCTGGGAGGCCATGGCGGGCAGATCACTCAAGATCAGGAGTTCGAAAGAGCCTGAGCAAGAGCGAGACCCCGTCTTTACTAAAAATAGGAAGAAATTAATTGGCCAATTAAAAACATATAGAAAAAATTAGTCGGGCATGGTGGCGCATGCCTGTAGTCCCAGCTACTCGGGAGGCTGAGGCAGGAGGATCGCTTGAGCCCAGGAGTCTGAGGTTGCTGTGAGCTAGGCTGATGCCTCGGCACTCACTCTAGCCTGGGCAACAAAGTGAGACTCTGTCTAAATAAATAAAAATAAATAAATAAATAAATAAATAAATAATAAATAAATAAATACTGACTAGGCCGGGCGCAGTGGCTCACACCCGTAATCCTAGCACTCTGGGGCTAGGGCCGAGGCCGAGGCGAGGCCGAGGCGGGCAGATCGCTCCAGGTCAGGAGTTCGAAACCAGCTTGAGCAAGAGCGAGACCCCGTCTCTACTAAAAATAGAAATTAATTGTTGTCAAACTAAAAATATATGGAAAAAATTAGCCGGGCATGGTGGTGCATGCCTGTAGTCAGAGCTACTCGGGAGGCTGAGGCAGGAGGATCACTTGAGCCCAGGAGTTTGAGGTTGCTGTGAGCTAGGCTGACACCACGGCACTCACTCTAGCCTGGGCTACAGAGTGAGACTCTGTCTCAATAAATAAATAAGTAAATATAAACTGGCTCATGTCTCTCCGCTGCTCAAAACTCCATCTTCTAAGTCCCCATCCCAAGATCACCTCTCCTGGGGCCCCTCTCCCGTGTGCCACCTCTGCTTCTCCCAAGCACCTTTCTGGCTTGGCGCTGGCCGAGTGCGTGGAGACACCCTTGCTCCCTGTGGGCTGCCAGCTCTCCGAGGGCCGGGCGCCCTCGCCTGTCTGTGGGCCTGGAGCCACCCTGGGCGCCTGTCGCTCAGGCACAGCCCAGGGCCCGGGGCTGGAGGTGGGAGCCTGAAGGTGGAGAGTGAGGAAGTCGTCCTGGCGGGCAGGTGTGCCCCCCGCCCTGTGCCAACGTGGGGCCAAGGTAGACACGGCTCCCTCCCGCCATCCAGGGCTGAGGACTCAATGGCACTTTCTGAGAACCTGCTCCCCTAGACGCTGGATCCTCCCTCCCCGGCCTGCCTGCCCTGTCTTCTCCTTGGGCCCTTTTGTGTCAACCCTCAAAACTGGGGTGAGCTAGAAGGGGAGCCGCCCTGTCCTTGAGGTCAGCGCAGTTGTCCCCCTCTGCCCTCTCGCCCCTCTTGGTGCTGGCGTCCAGCGGGCACAGCTGGGGATTCTCGGTCCCCCCGGCCACCCTGGACTGCACCTGTGTTGCGCGAAGCCACGGTGGCTGGGGGCAGGTCTTACTTGCACTGAGTAGTATTTGCCTATAGCACATTTTTTTTTACTTAAAAAAGAAAACTCCTTATGCCGGGCATGGTGACTGGACCCTATAATCCCAGCTACTTGAGAGGCTGAGGCAGGAGGATGGTTTGAGGGCAGGAATTTGAGACCAGCCTGGGCAACATAGCAAGACCCCTATCTCTACCAAAAAGAGAAGAAGAAAAAAATACCTTGTGCCACTTCATAACCCTAATTTTTAGTTACAAAACAAACCCACCTTTAGTTATTACTCCCCCCCCCCGCAATAGTACAACGGCGTCCTCGTTCTGTTTCCTCCCGGCCTTGCCTGGCCGCAGGTGGCTGTGTGTGTCCAGGTGGAGAGGTGGCTGCCGTCTCAGTGTGGGGACGCCTCTGGGTGTCTTCATGGCGACTCAGAACGGGCTGTCCACGGGGAGAAGGCACCTGCCAGGGCCCTCCATCTGGGCACGAGGCCGCTGTGTGGGGCTGCTGCCTCCTCCTCCTCCTCCTCCTCCTCCGGAACAGCTTCTGGGGCAGTGCTCGTCTTTCCCATCATTCGAAGCCACTGGGGACCTTATCCCTGGTCTCTTCCCATCAGACACCTTTCCTCGGCCTCTGCAACATGCCTGCAGTGACTCGGGACCCCACCGCGCAGCTCCCTCCGCTGCCCCGTGGGGACTCTGACCCGAGTCTCCCAAAACCTCCCCCGGTTCCTGGAAATCCTCCCCCCCCCCCCCCCCCCCCCCCCCCCCCGCTGAAGCCGGGCCAGGGCTCGTGACCTGCAACTGCTCCAGGGGGAAGTAGCTACGAGGGAGCAGAGAGACGTGTGTCGTGCCCATCCCGGTCTTCAGCCCCTTGCCACCCCCACCCAGAGTGCACTCCACCCCGGGGCCCTGCCCAGCGCTGGGGACGCCAGGGGGACGGAGGCCTGGGTCTTGCCAGCCCCTCCACTGGTCACCAGCCATTTGCCAAGCCCTGCGCAGAGGCAGGCCCAGGCCCTGGGCTTGAGTTTCAGTTCCGCCACTCACCCGGCTCCCAGCCCGTGACCCGAGCAAGGCTCTTAACTTCCCTGGGCCTGTTTCCTTGTCCACAAAATGATGGTGACAGAGTGAAATGCGCTATTACCCCAAAGGTACTTAGGACACGGCCTGGCACGCCTGGGTGTTCAGTGAATGTCGCTGTATGTCAGGGGACTCCAGGGGCTGGGGTGCAGAGCCCTGCAATGGGGAGGCAGTGAGTGGAGAATAGTGACATGGAGTGGGAAGGGGCCACACAGAGAGGGAGGTGCCTGGTGGGGAGGAAGAGGGCCAGGAAGGGAGGGTAGGAGGGCTTCATGGAGGAGGTGGTGTTGTAAGCACTGAGCTGCATTCTCTAAGGAAGGAGGGAGGGCCGGGCACAGTTGCTCACGCCTGTGATCCCAGCACTTTGGGAGCCCGGGAGTTCGGGGCTGTAGTGAGCCGTGATCGTGCCACTAAGTGCTGGTTAGAAAGATCCTGTGATTCAGAGTGAAGACCTGGGTGGCAGGGGCTTGGGGAGGTGAGGCTGGGCAGGCAGAGCGGGTGAGAGAGGTGAGAAGACCCAGGCCGGCAGCGGTGGGGGAGAGCAGAGCAGAGAGCTGAGGCAGCACAGACCTGGGGACTCCTGAGTAATTAAGAGGGAGGCGAAAGGAGCAGTGGCGACAGGGCTGCTGGCCTGGGCAGCTTTTGCCAGCATGGGAATAACCGAGTGGACGCTGGTGGTGATGGGGGGTGGGGGGGTGAGCTCAGCTTAAGACACTGGTTCGAGGTGTCAGCAGCCTGCTCGACCCAGTGTGACCTCTCACACCAGAACTGAAGCAGGAAATGAGAGGGCAGAGGCGAGTAGGCTGACCTGCTCCCCATCCTGCCAGGGGCAGCCTCCCTGTCTCCGTTCTCGGTATTTCACCCGTGGTGGGGTTACGTGCACTTTGTTCACCCCTGCGCGTTTGCCTGTGTGGTTTCGACTTCTGCCTCTCCTCTCCTTGCTCTGAATTCTCCCCCTGCACGCAGCCTCTCCGGCCCGGAGCCAGCGCCACCTCCCTGGAGTCGGCTTCTCTGGTCCTGTACCCCAAGTGCCTGGAGTGATGGGGCAGGCGCTGGATGTTCCCTCACTCAGGGGGTGGTCAGGCTGGACAGGTGCAGGTGAGGGACAGGACAGTATAAGATGGAGGATAAAGCAGGGGAGGATGGGCTTACTCAGGGGAAGGGCAAAGCCGGGGAGCCTTGGGGACACCCAGGCACCCCAGGACCTGCAGTGCAGCCCAGGCTATGCGCCTGGACCTGCCCTTTGACCACAGGAAGAATGAGGTGTCTGAGCCGTAGCAAGTCAGCAGGAGAGGGAAGAGAGGGTGTGGAGAAGTGGGCAGCACAGGGCCCACTCACTCAGCCTGACAAATGCCCCTCTGCTTAGAGAAACGGTCGTCACCGGTGACCTTGGCAAGGGCAAGGAGCTGAGGAAGGAACGGCAGAGGAGGAGGTGGAGACACAGAGTGAAGATTCCTCTTTCCAGAAACCAGAGTCAAGCAAGAAAGAGGGAGGTGGAGGAAGGGCTTCTGGCCTATCTGCTGATTCCTCTCCTTTGAAACAGGACAGGCTTGGCCCCTCCGTGGGCTGCAAGTTCAGAAAGCGGCAGACCCAGCCTAGCTGGGTGGAAAGGGCCTGAGGGCGGTTCCTGTTGTGGAAGGTGGCACTGAGTGGCCAGCTGGAGGGCCAGGCAGGGAAGGTGACCCCACTCCCTACAGGAAGAGGCTGATGAGCCGGCAACCAGGCCACTCAGGGGGAGCACCCTAACCCGGGCTGAGGGCTCAAGGGAGACCCGGGCCTGGTGGCAGCTGCCCAGGGCTCCTGAAAGGGACGCGATGGAGAGGGCACCGGGGAGCCAGAGCTGTCGGATGGAGATGACATCTGGCTGGGGCGCAGGGCCTGCCACACGGGGATCGGCAGGGCAGTGTCAGGCTGGTGCGGCTGCCCGCACGGCGCGGGGAGCCGCTCCCCGCTTCCAGGGTGCAACGGAGAGAAACGTGGTCCTGCAGGCGCGGGTTTTGTGCGGGGGGTCAAGGGACAGGCAGGAGGACCCCGACGCCAGAACGTGCAGAAATCCGGGGAGCCGCCACAGGGCGCAGCACCGACAGGCCTTCAAAGCAGTCACGCCCGCACCTTGAGGGGCAGAAACACCCCTCAAGTAACGTTTGCGTGCCAGACGCAAGAGATGGAGCGATGTTGGGGAGGGAGCTCCCGGTTCTCGGAAGCAAGGGGTGAAGTCACCGACCGCTGGGTCTGAGGATGGTGGGTGGGTCTGGAGGAGACCGGGGACAGGGAGGAGGGAGGTGATCGGGAACACCGAAGGGCTGCGGCCACAAGCCAGGACTCCCAGGTGGGGGGCGGGGGCCGTCCCCGCCGGAGCAGAGGCGGCAGCGCCCCGCACTCGGGGTCTCAGACGCTTAGCTCGGCCTAGGGGACGTGGAGCGATCCCCGGAGACGGTGCTCCAGCTCGCGCCTTTCCTGGGGCGCGGAGCCAGGCGCTGGCCTGGGGCAAGGCCGTGAGAACCCTGCGCCGCGGGAGGGCCCGGGGCTCCGCGCCGGGGAGCGAGGAGGCGTCCCAGGGAACCGAGCCCGCGGGCGCAGCGCAGCCGCAGAGGAGGCGGGGCACGCTTAGACCCCGCCCCATATGGTAATGCAGCACCACCGCCCCGCCCCGGCCCAGGGGCCGGACGGGTCCAACCCGCGAGATCGAGAGGCCGGCGGCGCCCAGCAGCGCACCCGCAGAGGCCGAGGGCGCGGGGCCTGGCGCCAGGGCCGGGCCGACGGGCTGGCAGCGCAGCCTGGGGATGGTCAGCCGGCCGCTCGCGTGTCCCGGGCCGTGGCTCCCCCGCCGGCGCGAAGTGGTACGCCCCGCAGGGGCGTGGCCCGGGTCATGTGACGCAGCCGCGGCCGCCATTTTGTTCTGCGGTGCTGGTATTTAGAGCGCAGCAGCTGCCGGGCCGGACGCCCTCGCCGCCGCCTGTCCGCTCGCCTTCGCGCCTGCCCACCGCGTCCTGCCCGCGCTCGCCCCAGCTTCGGCCCGCAGAGCTCGCCCCAGCTTCGGCCCGCAGAGCTCGCCCCACCCCACCCGCAGACATGTCCGAGAGCAAGAGCCCTGAGTATGCTTCGTTTTTCGCCGTCATGGGCGCCTCGTCCGCCATGATCTTCAGTGGTGAGCGCCGGGGCAGGAGGGACCCGCGGGGCGGGGGGCACCGGGGGCGCGCGTGGGGCTCGTGCCTGCCGCTCGCCGGGGTTCAGTGTGTGACGTCACTCTGACGTAATCCCGAGCTGTTGGGGGACCCAGCCTCGCGTGACTGCGGGCGGGGGTCGGGGCCCCGAGGGCTGCGGGAGGCCAGGGGCGGGCCTCGGGGGTCCCGGGCCGGCGGCCCTGCCAGCCGGCCGTGTCGGTGCGGGGGTGGGGCGGCGGCACCGCTGCCATCTTAGCCCCGGGAGAGGCGAGAGGGAGGCTGGGGTGGGGGCGCGGGGGGCGGCGCGCGGTCCTGCGCCTGCTCCGCACTCCCCCATTTCTGCAGGCAGGTGTGACATCACGCCTCGGAAAGCGCCCCGTCCGTGGGCGGCGGCGGCAGTGGTCGGGCCCGGGAGCTCCTCGGAGGAGAGTCCTTGGTGCTCCCTGGACGGTGGGAGCCTGTGTCTCCGCCAAGGTCCACAGCCTTCGCCTATGTGGCGGCCAGACCCCTGCGGGGGTCAGGTAGGCCTGTAACAGAGGCAGGTGCTTCCTGTTAGAGGTGTCATGGTTTCCCAATGGCCCTGTCGTGTGGGTTGATTGGGAAAGCTGGGCTGAGGGGTGGGTCCTGAGAGCCCTCAGGGACACAAGGGTGGAGTGTATGGAAATGGAGGGGGAGAGGGGAAGGCCGGCCGCTGTCATCGCTGGCTGTGTGTGTGTATGCTTGCTGCTGAGGGTCTGTGCTTTGAGGGGGTTGAGAGAGTGGCATGAGGTGTCAGATTTATGGGGTTTGGTATTTGTTTCTTAGGAGGCAGTCTTCCACTTTTGGCCCTAATGAATGGATGGATGCATGAATGAATGACTTTCAGTTTTCCTTCCTGAGGCCTGGAATTGGGAGGGGCTGCCCCGTGCCTGTAGAAGGGGCTTCCTTGGGCCTTGACAGTCCTGGGTTGTCAAATTTAGTGGAAATCGGTCTACCTGGGAGAAAAGCGACTGGGTTAGGCCCAGGAATGTGGGACCCAGGGAGGTAAGTTCTGACCCAGTCTCAGCCCCTGTGGACTGGTCTAGCCTGGTCTGGTCTCCGCCTCCTCAGTTAGGTCTGGTTTTAGGCTTTGATGACCTCGCCCTGCCACACCCTCCCTGGTGAGAGTGGGGGAGGCTCACAGTTCAGGTATGTGGAGAGTTTGAACTCCAAACAGTCTCTGCTGCCTGTAAACACCTGTGGGGGCTTGGGACTCTGCTCACTTGGGGGCCTCCCTCTGCCTGGGCCTGTCCGCCAGTCATTTGTGGCTGAGCTAGCCCTGCCCTTCCAATCATGTGCAAGTCAGGGGTCATTTGTGGTGGGAGAAATGGTCTAGTTTTCCCCTTCCCTCCCAGGCACCGCCTGCTCTTTCCACACCTACCCGGCTCCCTCAGGTGCTGCCACACACCCCAGCCCTCAGCCAAGGGGGCTGTTCTTTGTTCCCAGAATGCCTCCTGAGACTCTCCTTTGCTTGGCCACCTGTGGATCCTGCTGTAGCTGCCATGCATTCGTTCATCTACAAATTTTGATTGACCTCCTACCAGCACGCTAGGTGCTGGGCATATCAGCAAATAAAATGAGCCTTGCCCATATGGGACTCCTGTTCTGGCTGTCACTGCTTGCTCCTGAAGCCCTGAGTTTGTTCGTTGACCCCTTTCTGTGCACCTAGCTCTTTGCTCCCCATCAAGAACCTACATGTGCTTTGCAGCAGAGCCAGGCATTCAGGTGTCTGGAAATGATCAAGGACGGGGTATCAGTGGCCTAGGCCTTTCCTTCCACTGCGGCTCCTGGGGACTGAGGCCTGTGTGCTCCTAGTGACTCTCGTGTGGCTCCTCTCTCTGTACCCTCAGCTCCACATGGCGCTCAGTGTGGCCCTGTGGTTGCTAGCCTCTCACTTGGCCTGTCAGGTCAACTTCTGACTTCGTTTCTGCCCTCCAGACATGCCTTTCCCTGGGACTTGTCTTCATCTCCTGTGCTTACACGAACAAACCCCTCTGTCCTCCTGTGGCCTCTGCTGTTGCTACCTGGCTGGCTCCAAGCTCTGTCACAGCTCTGGCACTGCCTGCCTAGGACTCGGCTGATTGGTCTTAAACCGAATGAGGTCCATGCACAAGTTTCAGGCCCCCCATTCCCCATCCCACTGTCCAGCTTCCCCTTTTTTCTTATGACAAACATCCTGTTGGTGCTTTCTTCATCATGTCTTCCGAGAAGCTGTCATTTGCTCCCTTTCCATATTTTCTGTGAGTTCCTCCCTCCTGGTGGGCACCCCATATTTGGTAGTTGTGTTCCTAGAGCTGCCTCCACTCTTTCTGTCTCTTGCGCAGTCTGTCATTGTTGACAGGTCTGCCTTCCACAGCCCTGGCAGGCTCGGTCCCCAGAGCTAGTGTCTAGGGCCCTCCATGCTTTGCTGTTGTTTTATGTCCTGTCCCTGTGGCTCCTGCTGGTCATCTTGGCTTCTTCCTTTGTTCCTCTGGTTGCCTCCCCCCCCCCCCAGCTACATGATCCGTCTGCTGCCTTCTGTAGCCAAGGGCCCGGATCATTGCCTGCTCTGCCAGGCGCTGGCCTCACAGGGTCCCACTCCCGCTGGCACCGAATTCCCTCTGTTCGGCTCCCCACCTGGTGCGGCTGTGGCCTGTGGTCTCCCTGTTCAGTAACATGTCCCCAAGGGTGCGAGCCATGCTCTGGTCTCGCGCATATGTGCTGCTGTCTGACCTGCTGGGCCTGCAGTGGGAGCCCCCAAAATAACCTGTAACGGAGAGTTCCAGGACAGGCCCTCAAAGGTGGGCCCCAGGCAGAAGGCACTTATGTCTGGCCACTTTAGGGATGGTGTGGGGGAGGCAGTTAGCTGCCCTGGCCTCCTTCCTCCGTCTTGTCGCTGCTTAGCCTGTGCCATCTTGTTTGGCACCTCCAAATACGCTGTCTGGAATCATTTTGCCGCCTTGCTCTGCCTTCTTGTGACTCCTTGCTCACTGCCATTTCGGCTTCTCCCCACTCCCCCCACCACCCTCTTCTCCACTCTCCTGTGATGTGTTGCCAGGTCTGGAGGTCACCGTACGTGTGTCTTCTGAGCCCTGGGAAGGAGAGCCCTTCTGACCTGACTCTTGCTCAGCGCTGAGCACAGAATAGGTATCATTTGTGGCCCAGAAAGATCAATAAAATGTGCAGAGGAATGCCTGGGATGGTCCCGTCCCTTCTGTCTCTGACCTACATTGTCTTCTGTGGGTAAGGCCAGGTATCCATCTGCTCCCCTAAAAGGACCATGGCGTGAGTGCCCTGGGCAGAGATGGGGCATGGGTCTGTCAATGCAGCCTGCTCAAGCAGCTTACTGGTCCCTGTGGTGGCCCTGGAGGGCAGGTGGCAGACATCAGAGGAGCCATCTGAGCCCCACCGTGTCTCTATTCTGTGTTGACATTCTCCACTTTGAGGCCAGCAAGGGAAATAAAGTTCCTGAAAAGGAAGGCAGCATCACCTATGGAGAGGAGGAGGGACAGCTCCAGAGGAAACACGGCACCCTAGAGTCTCACCTCCCCCGTACGGATGTGGTGGGAGGCTCAGGTGGCCCAGCCAGGCTTCTGAGCTCAAGGCCTCGTGGTCAGGCTGGGTGTCGACTGCGATAGCCCTGTCCTCTCCTCGGCTCTCCGTTTCTCCTCTCTGGTTAGTAGAGAAGATTAATCTGTCAGGGGTCTAAGGCCTGCTCTGTGGCCGAGGGTGCCCAGAGTTGCCCTTTGTGGAAGAGCCCCCAGCCTTCCTGTAGCATGTTGAGGGCTTGGCATTGTGGCAAGTTTGGTGGGCTGGGCAGAGAGTTAGGGAAGCTCTGGCCTGGGGCGGGGGTGGGGGGGCAGAGACAACAGGTTGGCTGCTTCTGACCCTGAGGTCACACCCTGTGGCAGTAGCTATGCCATCTGGCCTGTTGTGGCGTTTGGCCTGTGTTGTCCCTGGGCAATAGCCACAGGGCTGGCTGGCTGACCCTGGCCCAGCGTCTGGGCTGCTGAGATACAGTCAACTTAGTACTTTCCCCGGGGCTTTCCTGACTTGAGTGCCAGGGACTCTGGGTAGGACAGGGGTGCTCAGAATCCCAGGCTAGGCTCCTGGGGTCCCAGCTGCCTTCTTTACCACGTGGCTGGGCTGCCTGAGGTCGCGGGCAGCTTGAGGATGGGGGCAGCCGTATTGAGGCTCCCAAGGAGTATGGGGTCTGTGCAGCAGGCTTGGGCAGCACAGGCTGGAGTTACACAGCAGAGCTGGGAACCCCAGATAGGCTAGAGGGCTGTAAGGGCTACTGCTGGAGGAAGAGCTGGACTGTAGGGGTGAGGGGGCCTGAGGCTCCAGATAAGGGAAAGGAGGGAGTGGCTGCTCTAGCTGGGTGCCTTCTGCAGCTCCCTCTGCGTGTGGTTACTTGCGGTAACTCACAGCGGTGCCACAGGCGTCCCTTCCAGCCCCCAGGTGGCCAGTGTGCTGCTCTGGGCTCACTTCATTCTCCTCCCACAGCCCTGGGGGCTGCCTATGGCACCGCCAAGAGTGGCACAGGCATCGCAGCCATGTCTGTCATGCGGCCGGAGCTGATCATGAAGTCCATCATCCCGGTGGTCATGGCCGGCATCATCGCCATCTACGGCCTGGTGGTGGCTGTGCTCATCGCCAACTCCCTGAACGAAGGCATCAACCTGTACAGGTGAGTGCTGGGGCTGCGCTGCAGGGCTTGGAGGGCTGTGGG